GCTCCGAGCCGTGTGGAACCCGTAGGCCGTAGCGTGACGCGAATGACGTAGGCCACGTCACAGCGACATCGCTGTGACGTAGCCTACCGCCTACGTCATTCGCGTCACGCTACGGGTTCCACACGGCCGCTGCGCAGTAGACTTTCGCCACGCCGCCATATTAGCCATGTATCGTCCTTCCGCCTTCGTCGTTGAATTCTCACCGGTTCAAATACCCGTTCGCGACAAGTGTGTGTAATATTCGTTTCCGACAGTGACGGGGGATTATTTGTGCGTGAGATAATGCGTGCGGAAGCCGGATTTAGTTGCTATCTTGTCGATAAATGTTCTCGATCGCCTCTTTCGTGCTTTCGTTGCGATCGAGCACAGTGGAATCGCGAGGTTAGCCGCGTTCGCGGAATACCGGAGGCTAAATGAGGTGAATTTTCTTTTCGACCCGGCTCGTCGAAATTATATGAATATATATTTTCGTGCGTATTTAGTCTCATGTGTATGTGTAATGTGTTTCAGGTGCAGTAAAGGGAGAAAACGAAAGCGGAGGATGCCTAGCCAGTGGATCTTCAAAGTGTCCAGCAACGGCCGCGAATGAACTTTCCGTCTTCACTGTTCGGACACAAAGACAAGACTGAGTAATTGGATCGGATTTGTCAGGTACGCATTTCATTTTTGACTCGTTATGCGTCGTCTTGGCATTCGAGATAGTATTTTAGGCAGTAGGTGGTACAGTCCGAAAATTCCGCGCGTTGTGACACTTTTCTACGGTGTTCACGCGAATCGTAGCATGGCTGCTCGCGCAAACGTATAGCGTCTTTCGTCGTCAATTTCGTGAATTTAAACGCGAAAGTGCGACAAGTGTCTGCGATGCTTGTTCGAGACAACGACGCGGAATTGATTGTCCGTAAGACAATGCGTGTGGCAGTTGAATTTTCTCACGATCTTGTTGATGAACGTTCGTGATTGTTTTCGAGCTCCGCAGGTAATTATTTATTAGAATATCATACCTCACCTTTTACATTGTTATTACATTGTTATACAATATACATCGGTGGAACGTATTTGATATTATTTTATTATTTCAAATATTTCGTATTAATTATAGAATGTGATGTCAAAAGTAAAAAGTAATTATAGAATGTGATGGCAAGAAGTAAAAAGAGGTTTTTATTAGCGTGGTTTTTTTACATAATCTTTATTCAATTATTCGTACTTACTATCGTAGTACATTTCGCGCTTTGCTTTTGGCATTTCTGGCACTTGTTCAATACTATATTACTTGTTCAATACTATATTAAATAAGAAATAAGTCAGAAGTGTAGTTATTTAAAATAATGAATACTAATCGTATAAATAATTCTTTTAATTTTTTATTTAAATTGTATACTTTAACTTTCGTCGCTTTTACGAGTATATAAAAATTTTTTAATGGTTCTTACGTGTATCTTGACATGTTTAGAAAGTATTTGTAAAGTTGTATATTTATAACAAATTATATATAAATTGTTATAACTAAATATAGTTAACAAAATGGGAAGTATGTAGTTTTTCGTACAAAAATGTAAAACTCTGTAACAAAAATATCAACTTCAAGATATTGAAACATACTTTTCCTTTAAATTTTTTGTTTCGGAATTTTACATTTTTGTATGAAAAAGTACATACGTCCCATTTTGTTAACTATGTTTAGTTATAACAATTTATATATAATTTGTTATAAATATACTATAACTTTACAAATACTTTCTAAAAATGTCAAGATATACGTAAAAACCATTAAAAAATTTTTATATACTTGTAAAATCGACGAAAATTAAAGTATACAATTTCAATAAAAAATTAAAATAGTTATTTATACAAGTAATATTCATTATATAAATGACTACACTTCTGACTTATTTCTTATTTAATATTTTATATAAATTTCCGGAAACTATTTTATATTTTTTATTTTAAACAAATCGTATCTGCTTTTTACTAATTTCTACGATTTTGTATTTTAATTATGTTTCTGAAACTTATTTTATGTTTTTTATTTTTAATAATTCGTATGTTATTTTATCGCGAAATGTGATCGGCATTGTACATAAGTTTAAAGAATTTCTGAAACACAGATAATTTGCACAGATAACTGTAGTGTCTTAAATTAATTTATTAACTGAAAAATTAAGTAACGATTAACAGGATATTTAGTACTTTTAGCCAAAGCTATATGTAGCACAAATTGTTTCACGATATTAAAGAAATTTGCATGTGTTTTATATAAAGAACACATATAGAATATTTTATCAACTTTTATTTAAACATGAATTATTAAAAGGAATAATAAAAATTGAAACATAATGTTGGAATATCAAAAATACCCCACGCGAATAATTATTAATTACGTTTAAAAGAACCAGTAATATATATTACTTGCATGGTTCTTTTAAACGTAATTAATAAATATGCGCATGAGGTATTTTTGATATTCCAACGTTATGTCTCAATTTTTATCATTCCTTTTAATGATCCATATTTAAATAAAGGTTGATAGAATATTCTATATATGTTCCTTTATGATACATGCAAATTTTCTTAATATCGTAAAATAATTTGTGCTAATTACAGCTATGGCTAAAAGTAATAAATATCTTGTTAATCATTATTTAATATTTCAGTTAATAAATCAATTTAAGACAATATTGTTACTGCAAATTATCTGTGTTTCAGAAATTCCTTAAACTTACGTATAATGCCGATCATGGCTCGATAAAATAACATACGAATTATTAAAAATAAAAAACATAAAATAAGTTTCAGAAACTTAATTAAAATACAAAATTGTAGAAATTGGTAAAAAGCAGATACGACTTGTTTAAAGTAAAAAATATAAAATAGTTTCCGGAAATTTTTTTTTATATAAAATCTTAAATAAGAAATAAGTCAGAAGTGTAATTATTTCAAATAATGAATATTATTCGTATAAATAATTCTTTTAATTTTTTATTTAATTTTTGTTTAATTTTTATTAATTTTGTATACTCAGTCCTCCAGAAAAAATTTCTTTTTTAGCTAAACGGAATAAGCGTAAAAATTTTTCTTTACGGATTTAGATAACGCATAAATAGCGCATAAATCCTGTGTAGTTAATTTTCCAAATGGATTGTTTTTAACGGGTGGGCAGACTGAATGCATACTCAGTCTCCCCAGAAGAAAAATTTTTTTTTGGCTAAACGGAATAAGCGCAATAATTTTTCTTGACGGATTTAGGTAGCGCATAAATAGCGCATAAATCCTGTGTATTTAATTTTCCAAATCAGTTGTTTTTAACGGGTGGGCTGACTGACTGCATACTCAGTCCCCCCAGAAAAAAATTTTTTTTTAGCTAAACGGAATAAGCGGGGAGCTCACTACCGGTACTACCGCATCACTCTATCCTTGTTGTTTATTACACGAAAAACAAAAATAGAACGATTCGATAGCACTAATAGTGAGCTCGCCGAACGTATCCT